TCGGTCTTATCAGGGTTGAGTCTAAGCCTGTTCACCCCCATCCAGACCCTCACATCTTCCAGGCACTGGCACATCATGTCGACTGCTTCACTGAAAGGACACGGAGTGGAGATATATAATTGGGTATCATCCGCGTACTGATGATTACCTCACCCCGTGTCGCCGAATGATCTCACCCAGCGGTTTCATGTAGATGTTAAAAAGGAGGGGGGACAGGACCGAGCCCTGAGGCACCCCATGATCGAGGCGCCTAGGGGTCGATCTCTGTCCGCCCGCCAACACCGACTGTGACCTGTCAGAGAGGTAGGAGGAGAACCACCGCAATACGGTGCCACCCACCCCCACCTCTCCGAGACAACGCAGAAGGATACCATGGTTGATGGTATCGAAAGCCGCTGAGAGGTCAAGAAGCACCAGGATAGAGGAATAACCCCTATCCCGGGCTCGCCAGAGGTCATCGGTCAGTGCAACCAAAGCAGTCTCAGTGCTGTAGCCGGGCCTGAAACCAGATTGAAAAGGGTCCAGATAATTGGTTTCATCCAAGGATCGCAAGAGTTGAGACGCCACCATCTTCTCTACAACCTTCCCCACAAAGGGGAGGTTGGAGACGGGATGAAAGTTCTTCAAAACAGCTGGGTCCAGGGAAGGCTTCTTGAGGAGGGGCCTCACCACCGCTTCCTTTAAAGGTTGCGGGAAAGACCCCTCCATCAAGGAGGCATTGATTATCGCCTGGAGCCAGCCTTGTGTCACCTCCCTACTGGCAGAAACCAGCCAGGAGGGGCATGGGTCCAATAAACAGGTGGCGGCATTCATTGCCCTCACGGCCTTGTCCACTTCATCAGGGGTCACAGGCTCAAACTCGCTCCAGATAACATGACTAAGACCAGCCCCTGGCAACTCGGCTGGCACTGCCCAGTCGGAGTCCAGGTCTCTCTGAATCTGAGCGATTGTTGCTGTTACTTATTTATTAAATTTATATATCTTTCATCTCACAGTTTGGTGACTCTGGATGGCTTACCACTATTGTAAAAGAAAAATACAAACATTATAACATTAAAACAGCAAATATAAAATTAGCGGAAATTAAATAACTTAGAAATCAGAATATAGTGGGGTGAAAAGATGGGCTTTTCTTCCCAGTCCACTAATCACTGCCAGTGTGGATTGCCCCCATTGGGGGTCCAGGCCAATAGACAAAACTAGAGTTACCTTGATGTATGATGAGCAGTCTATAAATTTATAAGTAAATAAATAGATTTTGAGACTCTTTAGGAAGAACGGGGGGGTGATTGCACCTTGAGGGGCACAATGTTCCAAAGGGCAGGAACAATGGCAGAAAAAGCCCTTCTTCTGGACCCCACCAGCCAGAGTTCCTTGACTGACAGGGTCCACAGCATCCCCTTCTGCTAAAACAAATGGGCAAGGCGTTGTTGTTGGAATGAAATGGTTCTTCAGGTATGTAAAGTGTTTCCACTATGAAAAGTGTTCATTATTAGGGGAAAAACAAGGTCATGGGAGCAGCCCCTTATACTACCTATAGATGTTAACTAGATTATATTTCCAATCCTTCTGTTATGAAAAGTCTATCTGTGCACATTCTGTGAAGATTTAGACCCTGCAAGAGAAATCAAAACACATTGCATAGGTCAAGGCAAGAAGTGGAATTACCATAAAACAATGGTGAACTGCATGCTTAAAATGCAGTAAATCTCATATATATATAACTGCTGGTATCTGCCTGAAATTCTGCTTGAAGCTTCAAAGAATGTATGCAATTCAACCTCAACAGTCTGTATTGGATTAAAGGGTCAGTGATTAAATCAGAATGAAGAGCTCCAAGGTCCCTTCCAACTCTGTTATTCTGTTTCTATGATCCTGCCCCTTTCCTTTTCTCCACTATCTCTTCCTAAATAAAGTAGTCCAACCCTCTGCTCAAGTAGGAGACCCTATAACATTTCAGATAAATGGTTGTCTTTTTGAAAGCTTCCAGTGATTGAACACCCACAATTTCTCAAGGCAAGTTGTTCCATTGGTTGATTGCTCCTTGGTTAGTTTCCATCCCTTGTTTCTCATCTTGCCTTTTGTTTTTTTGGAAAATAGTTTGACTCCCTTGTCTTTGTAGGAACCTCTTAAATATTGGAACACTACTATCATGTCTTCCCTAGTCCTTCTTTTCATTAGACTAGACATACCCAATTTCTGTAACTGTTCTTGGTAACATTCTTCACATCAATTTTTCTCTCACAATTCGTATCCACACAGATTTATTCCATCATGCTACTATAAATGGCAAGGCATAGTAAGTGATCTTTAATGTATAAACTTGCATTAATAAAATTCCAGTAGAGAATTTTGTTTATAGCAATACTTCTGAGACATTTTCCCCACTTTATCTACTTTCAACAGATAAAAGATGCTTTCTTCCATTATGAAACTTATTTTAAAAAAAACATACTTTAATCAGGATATTTATTATTCATTTTACCTACATCACTGCACATAGTTACAGAAATTTCTGCCTAAAAGGAAACAAAACAATGCAATGTCATTCACATATACAAATGAGACATTAGCAATCTCATTAAGCATTTAGTGGATTTCTTTTTGTTATTGTTATCCAAGACATTTCTCTTTACCCTTGAAAATTTGGGCTTATCTTCATAATTTATAACTTGATTACTTAATGATATATAATGCATCAAGAAAAATCCAATCCATTCCAAATGCATATTGTCATCCTTGCTATTACTATTTGTGCTAGCAATACTATATACCAGTGGTGGCGAACATTTTAGAGACCAAGTGCCCAAACTGCAACCCAAAACCCACTTCTGTATCACTGGGTGTTGGATGCGCATGGCCTGCTGGGTGGGTGTGGCCCACTGGGTGGGCATGGCCTGCTGGTGGGCATGGCTATGGTGGTCATGGCAGATGGGTGGGCATGGCCAGGATGGGCATGGCCAGCTCGATGTTGCTCCTGGGAGGGATGCCTGTGGAGGCCAGGCAGGGTTGGGGGAGATCCAGGGGGTCTCTGGTGGGTGGGACAGTGGGCAGGAGGGCTTCTTGCTCAGCTGATGACTTGGAGAGGAAGAGGCAGCTATACCCGCTTCCAAATGCTGCTGTCTCACGAAAGCAGGATGAAAACTCCAAAAAGCGACAAGGAAAACAAGTTAAAACAGAAGAGTGTCTCATGATGGTTTTTTTCCCTGGGGGGGTTGTTAGGGGGCATGGGGCGAGGCTCCTGAGCCCTGCAGCTCTTCTGAGGGGAGGAGGAAGAGAGTGAGAAGGGCTGTGCTGGGATCAGGGCTCCTCACTGCCCACCTGTGCTCTTCTGTCACAAATGTCACGGCTCCACTTTCCTGGCAAGGGGGGTGCACTCATGCATGGGGACACACATGGGTTTGCTGCCTCGTTTTCTGTGCCATGCTGGGGCTGGGCTGAACTGGGTGTGGAGCTCCTTGCACCTTCTTCCCCCATGGACATCGTGAGCACCCACCCCACCTACTGCTCATCCCAGGGCACCTGCCACTGTCCTGCACTCTCTAGCCCATCGCTGGCCAGCCAGGCATTCTGGGATGCCTCCCTTCAGGCTCCCCCAGCCTCTCCCCCCTCCAGGCTGGGGCTGGTCAGATTCTTCCTGTGGGTAGTGCTGCACCCATGCCTGGTCATCCCTCCTCCTCCATCCTCCTCCTGCCCAGTTCCTCCTCAGGCGGAGGAGCTGGGCAGCCATGGCTCTCCCCCTCCAGCCTCCATCTTCCCAAGGCCTGAGCTCGATGCGCCCAACTGGCCAGTGATAGGCTAGAGAGCGTGGGACTGCGGCAGCTGCCCTGGGATGATGGGTGGGCATTCCCGATGTCAGCTGGGGAAGAAGTGGCATGGAGACTCTGGCCCAGTCCAGCCCATCCAGCGCGGCATGGCAAGCAAGGCAGCAGCCCCACATGTGTCTGACCCAACCCTCACAGAGCGCCGTTCTCCCACCGCCCCACCACAACCCTTGCAGAGCACCCTTCTCCCATTGCTCTGACCCAACCCTTGCAGATCCCCAACCTGGTTTCTTACTTACCTCTGCTGGTTTGTTCCGTGGCCTCATGGCAGTAGCAATGGGCAGGAGGCAGCAAATGGCCAGTTTTGGCATGACGCAGCTGTTTGCCACCTCTCATATTGTGCCCCACCCACTGCACGGATCGCCCTGCCATCGCCACTGCTTCCTACCCACCCACCGCATGGATCGTGCTGCCATCACCGCCGTTCCCCCCCCACCTGCTGCGCAGATTGCCTTGCTGCTGCCACTTGGAAAAGGCCTCTGCCACCCAGATCTATGGCTGCAGAGTGATTTTGCGCCCTCCCCCACAGCTGATCCGGGTGACAGAGGCCTTTTCCAAGCCTGTGGAACTTAAATCCATGGCCACGGGGCAATTTTGCAGTGCCCCAGTGGCCCGATCTGGGCTCCGGAAGCCTGGAAAAGGCCTCTGCCACCCAGATTGTCCATGGGGGGGGCGCAAAATCGCTCTGCAGGCATATCTGGACTCACGCTGGCAACTGCCTCCACCATCCAGCCCAGATCCACCCACACATGGAGAGGCGAAGGGGAGCAGCTTGGGCCTGCCTCCTCTGGGACAATGGTACACATGCCCACAGGGATGGTTCTTCATGCCACCTGTGACACATGTGCCATAGGTTCACCACCACAGCTATATGCTATCCCATAGTGCTTTACAAAGCATATTGCTCCAAACCATCTGGGTCCTCATGTTTCTGACCTCAGAAGGATGAAAGGCTAAGTCAACCTGGAGCCCTGTTAGGATTGAACTCCAGATTATGGGCAGAGTTAACCTGCAATATTGCATTCTAACCATTGCACCACCAGGGCACCAGGAATGTTTATGTATAGAATTATGCAAACTTTCCAAGGTTTGGAATGATCAACAGGATTTTTTTTATGGCTGATATGTCCAGCTAATTTCCCATGAGGACTCTAATACTTTTCTTTAATCTTACAGAACACCCAATGGAAGTCAGATTAATGGGATAAGATGGCCAATCTTCACAACCAATGAACAAAACTACTTAGCATTAAGCACAAATGCTGCAGAGATTCAAACAAAATTGCGTGCTCAGACGTGTAGATTCTGGAACATCCTTTTTCCTAAGGTTCTGGAGATGACAGGTAATTTTGCTGCTAAATATATTTGTATTCAGTAGATTGGTTAATTCAAGTTCATCTTGCTACTACTACATTTTAATTTCAATTTTAAGACTTTGTGGGTAAATAATTATTTTTGTAAAATGAAATACAGCATTTATTCTAAAAAGATAATATTCACTAAAATAAATCTCCATTAATTTTAGATAGGTTCCCCACTTCTACCCCCCCCCCCACCAATCTTATTTTATATGCTTGAATTATTATTATTATTATTTTTTTGCATGCAAAGAGGAATATCTTTTAATGCTATAATCTGGATAGTACTTCCACTAGCATATAGCAAGTCATTGTTGCTCAAACTCAGTGACTATGATACAGCAGTATGAAAAAAGCAAAGCAAGCAACTTTGCTCATGTAAAGATTATAACAGTAATACAAAAATAGCAGCAGCACAAAAGAGTATAACATGATGAATGCATTTAGTTATAATTAGACATGCTGAAAAGAATGGGGATTCATCTTAGGTAAGGTTTCTTAAGTTCCAGTGATTTTATTTGGTCTACCTTTAGTATAATTAGATCAAAATTTGACCCATTATTTCTAAAATCACATTTGTACAAGCACTGTGCAAAGCTTCAAATCCCTTTAAAGCTGCTTTGCAAAGCAATATAGTTTAATAAAATTGTATGAACCAATGACTGAGATAGAATACTAAAAATAGTTCAAGGGCACCTTGAGATTAGTAGTCATGTACAAGGTGGATTCAGTAGAATTGTTGTTCCTCCTATTTATTTATTTAAAAAATCTCAGTGTAAAGTGACATCTCATGTTTAGGCCATTTATTCTGCCAAGAGCACGATAACACCATAGTACTACTTGTTTCAGATTGTAGCTTATAGAAAATATCCTTAGTTATAGTTCCATTAAAATTGGGGATTTGCTCTTGCATTATTTAATTACCATGTTGCCCAAGATATGTGTGAATGTCCTGTCTAAACTGGAAGTTTATTCTTTCAATAAATTCCAAGGAAAATCACATGAGAACAGTCCTTCAACTTGACCCTTTTTAAAACAATGATGCTATTATTAACATTAAGGAGATATTTTGCTTTCAGAGTGGAGTGGAGTGGAGTGGAGTGGGGTGGAGTGGAGTGGAGTGGAATGGAATGGAATGGAATAGAATGGAATAGAATAAAATAGAATAGAATAGAATTATTGGCCAAGTATGATTGGACACACAAGGGATTTGTCTCTAGTGCATAAGCTCTCAGTGTACACACAAACAACAAATTAATATAATCATAAGATACCAATAGGAGAAGGTAATAGAAAATAATGAGAAGGATAATAGTAATACAGCCATACTACATGGTTATAGATAACCTTAGATGTAAGACAGTACTGTGGTAATTACGTATTCAGCAGAATGATGACATGAGGGAAAAACCTGTCTCTCCATCTAATGTTTTGACATGCAATGCCCTACAGTGGCATCCTGAGGGGAGGAGTTGAAATAGTTTATGTCCAGGATGTAAGGGTATGATACATCCTTATGTAAGTATAAGGTGAGAATAAATGAAGACCTGTAAAATATAAAGCCATTTCACAAAGGACATGTCATGTCCTTATGTCATAAAATTAAATAAACATGTCACTTGTGTGATGATGTCACTGAGATTTGTGGATACAAATCTCACTTACCTTGAAAAATCATTGGATAATTTCTCCTTCCTTGTTATTAATATATCTATCAATTTAGTAGATTAAAAATTAAAAACAAAAGCGGTATGTGTCGAGCTCTAACCATTTCTTAGTGTATCCTTTCTAATTCTGAACAGCTGGATATATAAATCTTTCTTATTTTGCTGATCTATTATAATATCCAAAATCATGTTGCTATATTTTAAATAATCTTCCTCAATTGGTAGTATGGATAATTGATTATGCCAAGAAAATAAATTTATGAAAATTTATTGCATCCTTTAACTGAAAGTCTGCATCTGGACCTCAGCCATCAAATAGTAAATTGTAAGTTCTTTGTTAAATGTCATTTGTGGGTGTGAAAGTTGAAAATGCAAATGATGTGGCATATTGGGCCAGAAGAATAATTCTTCATTTTAACTGATTATGTTATAATCCAGAGTTAAAACTTTGCCCTTTGAATTTACAATAAATCAGGTGACAAAAAGGAGGGCAAAATGGTGTGTGGTGTATTTAGGGCAAAACAGCATTGGTAATCAGGATTATTTTTCAATTAATGTACAAAGAGATTTAAATTTAGATTAATGCCACCCATTTCATGTTTTACAGAAAATATTGATGAAGCAGAACAAAAGTGGAAAGCAGGATTCCTTCGCTGGAACAATTACATGATGGACTGGAAAAATCAATTTAATGATTACACTAGTAATAGGCAAAGCTGCACAGGTCTCTAATTAAAAGTTTCAGCTTTTCTGGAATGCTTGTACTGTCAAAGATCAAGGCAAACATGGAGACAGTTAATGTAGCATATCTAGCAATAAGGCATATTAGGCAGGCTCAGTGACCCATTACAAATATACCATTCTTCCAGGCCCATTTCTATTTATATCAATAATTGTTATGAAAGGACTTCCACCTTTTGAAGCATCAGGAAATGTAAAATAGGCTTGAAGCAATTAAAGCCAGAGGATGATTGATGTTGATATAATGGCCCCAATCCGATAGTAAATTATACTCTTTTTCTTTTAAAACAAGCTGGTTGTGCTAGCTATGAGTGATGATATTGTTACATATTGGAATATGCAACTCACTTAAGAAGAAGCTTCAAAGGTTAAATCTTCTTTGGCCATTTGGCAAATGGAATTGTGTACCTTCCAGGAAGGTGCATACTAGCCCATTCTATACCCACTTATTTTCAGAAATATCTGAAAATAAGCTTTGACTGAATGTGGTAAGAATGTGGTCAAGACCCAGGCTTCAGAATATGGTGAGCACTGAAAGTCTTTACAAACTTTTGCTTCAACACAGAAAGATAAGTAGAAGAAGGGGAATATGACCCATTGCTCCACCATAACGAGCTTTTCTAAATGCTTGCCAAAAAAAAAAAAAAAAACCTTCATTTGACAGCTTCCACAATCTTTCCATTTACCCAACATGACTGTCACTAATGGAAGCTGACACCTGAAACATATAAAAGTGATCAGGTTCCATATCCCTAGACTACATCCTCGTTTAGGTCTGAATTCAGATATGTAGCTGAATGCACACCTCAGTTATGCGGCAATATAATTATGCAACTATAATAACCAGATTGGGGTAATACTGTCCAAACAAGAATTTTCAATGCAATGACAATCACAACTGCTTTTTCCTTTAGCACACCATAGAAATACCAGCAGCATAATAGCAAACCCTTCATTTCCAACACAGTGTCATGGCATTTTAATCTTGTTTCAGTTTTAGTATAATATTATGAGAAAGAAAAAGTCCTTCCAGGACTTTTGTCCTCCATGGTGACAATAATCACAGAAGACAACAATATGCAGTACAATAATTGCAAATGTTTACTCACTCAAAGCTTCAATACACTTGGTCCTTTAATATATTTTTCAGTTCTGGTACAACTAATTAGCAGTATGCTCTGCTGATCAACAGTTTTCCTGACTAATTTAAGCAGAGATTATTAATATAAAAATCTAAATCTGTAATCAAATACCCAAAGTTGTCTTTTACCATCTTGATTCCAAAAGATTTCCCAATATGAAAAAGGTGCCAAAAGGAATAGCAGCAAACAATAACAAACAGGATAGTAAACTGAAGAATTAAGAAATGCTCAAACTAACACATTGACACACCATCACATATAACTAGACCCTCTTTTCTACTTTTTAACCTGAAGTGTTGGACTCTGGCTTTTCTATCAGTCTTGTCATGGTATCTTATTAAAATTTAGAAGGAGGTTTGTGGGATCCAGTTGCTTGGGGACAAGTCCTCAATATGGAACTTTAGATCCTCACTTAGGGTATTTCTTTTTATTCATCAGCCATATGTGATTCCTTCCAACATATATCAAACCTTTGGTATCCTGCATGACGTTGTACTTTATCACTTTTTATTGATAAAATCATGCTTCCAGATGGACTGTATAGATCATTAACCCTGATTATTTTTCTGGTAACTGGAAAAGATGAGTGCTGAGTGTGCTTGTAAAGATGTGATGCTCCATGCAAGCATGGATTTTCTCTGGATCAGATAACCTTTGGCTTCTGCATCTCCAAACATGCTTCCCACAGTTACTAGGAAATGTTGTTAGGAAGTATCCCCAACTTTACAAGAAAAAAAGCTTTGACATCAAAGAGAGTTTAAGAGTTGTTAAATATCTTGCTTCAATGAAAGAGAAACATTCCAAAGATCAAACCTTCATTCACAAATTACACTAGTTTTCCCTATAGGAGTCAGAGAAGAACAGAATGGTTTCCTTGAGATGGTTCAAGTGCCATACTACAATGTGAAACATTTTTTTCCTGTAATCCCATTTCTCCTGGGCATGTGATGAAAATGTTTATCTGTAGTTCTCATTTGCAGAATGCTTTGCAATTCTCCAATTTATTTGTTCTTGTAACATCCCTGTGTAGCAGTTCAGCATTGTTCTTAGTATACAATTTATTAACAGCACACTCTCGTACAGGTTTGTTCACAGATTTATTCCTCTGAGTACAATGAGACTTATTCCCAAACACATTAATTAGACATGCAATAAAATAAACTTTAGAACTGGCTTCTCGTCGGGATTTTTAAATTGCCTCTTGCTCTATAGGTAACATGAGTGATGCTATGTAAAAGGAATTAGCAGGGTTGGGAAACTGCTGAAAGAGAAGAACACTTAAAACACACACACACACTGTGATTTTTAAATTAAATATTTTTACTGCACTCACACACACACACACACACACACACACACACACACACGCAGTAAAAATATTTAATTTGAAAATCCAGTGCAAAGAGATCTGATTGAATTATCCCTTTACATGAAATTGTCAATTCTAATTTTAGAATCAATTTGACATTTGAAATTGAATTGGATGCTTTTGAACCAATTCAGTGGTTTAAGGCAGGGGTCCCCAACCCCTGATCTGTGGATTGGTACCGGGCCACAGCATGCCAGCAACATGGTCCGCACAAGCAAGCAAATTCTCATCTGTAGGATGCAGGCAGCACACAAAATCACATTCTCTGGTCCGTGGAAAAACCTTTCTCCATGGAACCGGTCCTTGGTGCCCAAAAGGTTGGAGACCTCTGGTTTAAGGCATGCTTGAGTATTCACAAACCCACATTTTTTTCTGAATTGGATTCATGACCTACATCAAATAGATATGATTGGATAATTCACATATCATCAAGGGTGACTACAATTTTATTTTTCAACACAAACTTAACTTCTGGTGATTTCATGGACCTGTCCAAGAGCTTTCTTGACAATAGAATAAAAGTTGCTTGTTATTGTCTTCTTCCAGGTTATTTTTCGGCTTCCCTGTTTAGTTTACAGTGCTGGTTATCCTTTAAGGTATCCGATCCAAATACTAACCTGGCTCAATCCTGTTTGGCTTCTAATCCTAGTCAAGGTAGCCAGGTGCTGCCATTTACCTAGGTTTTTCTTGGTTTTTTTTATTCTTTGCTGGCTTTAGCTAATTTATCATCAGATTAATTTATAGAATTACAGGTAGTATTCTGGCCCATATAGCTCTATGGACCATATAGCTCTATGCACCATATAGTTCTATGTTCGAGTGTCTGGCAGTTATTGGGTTAAATGCTAGGTATGTGGATGAATCAGTGGGAGGAGTTCCAAAGGTCATTGGGAGACTTCCTGGACACAAGCCACATGGAAATCTCTTTGTCTGTAAGAAGCATGGGTCATGGAAGGTCACACAATAAGTCTGAGTCATTATAAAGATGGTATGAAGAACAATACTTTCTTACCTAAAGGAATGATCTAAAAGATGAACAAAGATGTATTTCCAGCAGCACCAATCACAATGTGAACGCAAGTAATCTTTCTCATTAAAATATATTTTGCTTATTATAACATCGTTTCTTTTGAGTTAACTATCTGACTGGATTTAAAAGAGAACGCTTTAAATTTGGGTCAGAATAGGTTGTCCTTGACTTACAACAGTTTAGTGACCGTTTGAAGTTATGACACTGAAAAAAGTGACTTATGTCCATTTCTCATACTTATGACCGCATAATCATATGATCAAAAATTGGATGCTTGGCAACTGACTCATATCTATGAGGGTTGCAGTGTCCTGGGGTCATGTGATCCCCTTTTGTGACCTTCTGACAAGCAAAGTCAATTGGAAGTCAGATTCACTTAACAACCATGTTACTAACTTAACCATTGCAATGATTCACTTAACAAATGTGGCAACAAAGGTTGTAAAATGGGGCAAAACTCACTTAACAAATTTCTCACTTAGCAAGAGAAATTTTGGGCTCAATTCTGGTTGTTAAGTTGAGGACGACCAGGATATTATGGTTTCTCAGATGTTGGCAGGTGCTTTTAATCAGAGTGAATACAATTATTTTTATATTTTGCAAGCTAAAGCTTAGATGATAAAGGATAGATGATAGATACTCAATGCATCAAGCTGTACGTCAGCATTCCATTGGTTTCTTTTGCACTAGCTTATTATCTATAGGTTCTAATTTGTCCCTCATCTCTAAAACTCTTTTTTCTTATTATCAAATATTGTCTATTAATGGTAATAAAAGATATTATAATCATGCTCAGATGGTGATCTTTATTCCAAGCAGATTCTTGAGCTAGGTTCTGGTGAGTCTTTAGATATTTTCTTTTTATTTCCTGCTGAAAATTGGCAGGAAATTATGCTGTCATTATTTGGCTGCACAAGCTTAGTGAACTTTAGGAGTTGTACATCATACAAAAACATAACATGGCTGCCAATTTTCATATCTGCTTTCTAAGCGAGATTTCAGTTTTGAACAGCTTTGAATAATATCAACTCACAACCTAAACAAAGGAGATGCTCTGATGATGCTAATCTAAAACTGAATAATAGTGGGAGTTTCCAATACCTGGCAAAAATGAAAGCATTTTAAAAAGGGAGTAAAAATATTATACAAATCCCAGAAATGATACAGAAGAAATCCTGATAAAAAGTGGCCACTACCATTTTCTTAACTGATCACTAAGTATATTGTCCTTTCATCAATATTTTCCACCATATTACAGGTAGCCCTTGTCTTACAACAGTTCATTTAGTGACTGTTTGAAGTTACAAGGGCATTGTAAAAAATTAATTATGACTGTTCCAGCATCCCCATGGTCACATGATAAAATTCAAATGCTTGGCAAATAAATCATAGTTATGACATATATATATATATATATATATATATATATATATATATATATATATGTGTGTGTGTGTGTGTGTGTGTGTGTGTGTGTGTGTGTGTGTGTGTTTTCTGAGGTTTTCGCAGGTATTTGTATGTAGGTCTTTGGTTGTTCGGGTTTTCTCCCGCGTAAAATTGGAAGTGTCTTGGCGACGTTTCGACGAAGTCCCATTCGTCATCTTCAGGCTGGTGTTTTCAGCTTCGTGCTTTGAGCAGCAATGTGTGGTCTTAGCTGTTTATTCCTTTTAACTGCCAGTGGGGGTATGAACTGATTGGGTGGGAGCTTGGCTGTGTTCTGATTGGGTGGAGGTGTGTTCTGAATGGTTAGGGGCTTGGCTGTGCTCTGATTGGCTGGGGGAGTGTTCTGTTTGGTTGTGCTCAGGTTAGTCTGAGTTGCAGAGGGGTTTAAGATTTTGGGCTGCCTTGCTATTTTCTGGCTTCGCGTTCGTGGTCGTGTCTCCTCTTCATGGAGGGTGTCAGTTTGCTTCATGTATGGATTGGAGGGGTTTAAAGTGGCTAATGATGCAGCTGTGGTCTGGCTTCTGGTTTGTGGTCGTGCCTCGTCATCGGTGTGGCTTTGGGTTTGTTTTTTGCGTGGATGTGTGGTGGTGACATCCTGTGTGGTTTTTGTGAGTGTGGGTCTGGTATCATTTTTTGTGTTAGGGAGTCGTTTGTCAATAAGGGCGGGTTTCCAAATGGCTGGTAGGCGGGAGGTATCATCTTGCTTGTTCATGCTGTGTGGGCGTTTTTCTATCTCGATGGCTTCTCTGATTATTCTGTTATTAAAATGTTCACTTTTGGCAATGGTTCTGGTATTTTTAAAGTCAATTTCATGTCCTGTGGCTTTAAGGTGTTGGACCAGGGAAGATGTTGGTTCCTCTTTTTTGATTGAGTTCTTATGTTCTTCAATGCGTGCACTTATTCTTCTGTTGGTTTGTCCGATGTATGTGGTGGGACAAGTGGTGCATGGGATTTCGTATACTCCTTGATTTTCTAATTCAATTTTATCTTTGGGGTTTCTAAGGATGGTGGATATTTTTCTGTTTGTGCAGAATGCTGTTTTGATGTTGTGTTTATGGAGGATCTTACTGATTCTGTCTGTGGTGCCTTTTATGTATGGGAGGAGGGCTTTGCCGTTTTCTTGTTCTTTGTCTTGGATTTTAGTGGGGGTTTCTTTTTGGATTAGGTTTGTAATCTTATTTCTATGGAATCCATTGGATGTTAGTACATTGGTGAGAGTGTGTAGTTCGGGTTTTAGGTGTTGTTCGTCAGCTAAGCGTTTTGTTCTGGAGATGAGTGTCTTGGCTACAGAGTTGATCTGTGCTGGGTGGTGGTGTGAGAGATCGTGCAGATAGCGGTTTTTGTGTGTTTTCTTCTGGTAGATGGTGTGTCCTAGGGAGCCATTAGATTTCTTGTAGACTAAGACATCCAGAAAGGGAAGTTGGTTGTTAGTTTCTGTTTCCATTGTGAACTGTATTTTGGGGTGTAGGCTGTTGAGGTGTGTGAGGAAGTTGTCCAGTTTTTTTTCCCATGTGGCCAGATTATGAAGGTGTCGTCTACGTATCTGAGCCAGAGTTTGGGTTTGTGATCTGATTTTTCTAGAGCTTGGGTTTCAAAGTGTTCCATGTAGAGGTTGGCAATGACAGGTGAGAGGGGTGATCCCATGGGTGCTCCTTCTGTTTGTTTGTATTTTTGTCCATTACAGATGAAGTATGTGTTGGATAGGCAGTGGTTGGTCAGATCTAAGATGTGTTTGGGAGGGTTATATTTGTTTTGAATAGCTGTAAAGGCTTCTTTGATAGGCACTTGGGTGAAGAGGGATATAACATCGAAGCTCACGAGTAGGTCGCTGGGCTGTAAGTTTTGTTTCTTTATGATCTCTATAAACTGGAATGAGTTTTTTACGTGTGAGGTGATGGATTCTGCATAGGGCTGTAGTTGTTTGGCGAGAAATTTGGCTAGGTTTTGTAGAGGTGAGCCTATGGAGCTGACTATAGGTCTGAGTGGGGTTCCTTCTTTGTGTATCTTGGGGAGACCATAGAGTTTGGGGCATCTGGATGATTTCTCTCTGGGAATGATTCTTTGCTGGATCTCTTCGCTAATGGGGGAGGCTTTTATTTTGGATCTGGTGGTTTTTTCCAGGTAGGTGGTGGGATCTGTATTTAGGGTTTTGTATGTGGAGTCTTGGAGTAGGTTGGTTAATTTGGTTTGGTAGTCAGATGTGTTCATAACCACCGTGGCGTTGCCCTTGTCTGCTGGTAGGATTATTATGCTGGTGTCTTCTTTCAGGTTACGTAGTGCTGTCTGTTCCTCTTTGGGTAAGTTGCTTTTGGGTGGCTTGCTGGTGCAGAGGATGTTGGTGATTTCAAGTCTGATTCTGTTAGCGTCGTCGGGGTTGATTTTGGTCAGGCTGGTTTCAACTCCACATATAATGGTTTCAGTGGGGATGTGTTTGGGAGCGACTGCAAAGTTGAATCCTTTGGAAAGGACATTGGTTTCGGCTTTGGTGAGGATCCTATCTGAGATGTTATGCACTGTTTGTTTCATGTGTGGCTGTGAGGGAGGAGGGGTTTGTTTCTGGCATTCTTGTAGTCTTCGGAGTTTGTTGGTGTGTGTATCTGTCTTGAGGGTGGTCTGTGTTTCGGCTCTCCAGACGGCGAGTTGTTTGGATTTGTCCCAAAGTGCGGGGTGGATCTTGTTGCTGAGTTTGAGGTGGAGTGTGAGGAGATCTTTGTTAATTCGGTCTAGGAGGAATCTTTTTGTGTGAAGTTCATTTCTGATTAGGGCCAATTCTGTTCTTTTCAGGATCCGTTTGGTGGCTGCAGAGTTGGAGTGGAATTTCAGTTGGAAACATGTGGGGATTAGATTTTGATCTCGGCAGTTGCGTAGGAATGCGAGGTCGCATAAAATGGAAGCTCTTTGGACTTCAAGTTTTTCATAGGTCCTGGTCAGATGGTGGATTTCCTCCCCGTAGAGGTTCGATATTTGTTTTCTGAGGTTTTCGCGGGTATTTGTATGTAGGTCTTTGGTTATTAAGGTTTTCTCCCATGTCAAATTGGAAGTGTCTTGGCGACGTTTCAACGA